GGGGGGGGGGTGAGGCGGATGGGGGGCGCTTGCCCAGAGGACTGGAGGCCTCGCTCAATCCTTGTAAGCCCGGGTGGGGGAGGTCCCCTTGTAGAAGATGTTCCTGGTGTTCTCGGGGCTGTTGCCCCTCTCGGGGATCAGGATGATGTTGCCCTTCCTCCGGAGGGTGGAGTCGCGCGAGGAGGAGACCGACAGCGTCTCGGAGCCGACCTCGCTGCCCTCGACGGGCGTGACGCGGATGGTGGCGATGGCGTGGTGCGGGTGCTCGCCGCCGTCGATGTTGCTCCTTTTGCGGTCCCCGGAGCCGAACGTGTCCCTCAGGGCCTCGCAGCTCTCCGAGTCCCTGTTGAGGTCGTTGAGCTCGTAGGTCTGACGGAGGACGCCCTTCTCGGGGGCCTTCCACTTCCAGGAGCCGCTGCCCTCGCCCTCGGTGGACGGGATCTGCACGACGGGCCTGCTGTTCTCGGGGTGCGCCTCCACCCGGACGATGCCGCCGGGCTCGTGGTCCGTCAGGGCCTTGTAGCGGATGGAGCCCGTGCAGGACACGGCGCCGCCGTCGGCGGCCTTGGGGCCGCCCTGCAGGACGCCCTGCTGCTTGGACATGGCGATGACCTGCATGATCCGGGGCTGGCTGTTCCGGCCGCAGGTCACCGTCTTCTCCGCGGCCTTCAGCCACTTGGCCCGGGCGGAGCTGCTCTTGGGCGAGGCGCCCAGGTTCTCCTGCGTCTCCTCGGGGATGTGCACCAGCTGCGAGGACCCCGGGCGGGACTGGATGGACACGCGGGGCCCCCCGGGCACGCTGTTGTTACACACGGGCCCGGCGCCCGGCTGGATCTTGAGGTACTGGTTGCCGGGCCCATGGTGGTCCCCGTTCACCCCGACCCTGGACGGCTCGGAGCTGGACCTCAGTTCTACCGACCTGGGTGGCGACTGTCCCGGCTCAGCCTCTATGACCTGCAGGGACAGCTTGCGGCTCTCGTTCTTGCACTTCCACTGCGTGAGCAGCTGCTTGGAGCGCGCCGAGTCCATGGACGCATGGATGCTGGCGTTTCTCCGCACCGGGTCTTCCACCGACGGGGTGTTGGCCCTGGGCAGCGTGTTGCTGAAGGTCACCATGTTCTCCTTGCCCATGGGGCTCCGCGGGGTGATGATCTCCACGTCGGCGTTGGCCCTCTTGAGGCTGGTCAGCGAGCTGGCGTCGCGGGGGTTGCGGGCGAGGATGGCCTCGGTGTGCGCGATCCCGTCGGGGCCGCTCCCGTTCTTCGCAGCCAGAGCCCGGCCGGCGTCGGGGTTGAGGTCGGCCAGGGAGCGGAGGGCCTCTCTGTGCTGGAACAGGCTCTCCTCGCTGGGCAGGAAGTTCCCCACGGCGTACAGGCCCTGGGCGGGAGGGACGGTGAGAGCCTGCGCCAGACGCGCACCCTGGGACCCTCTGCCCCCCCCACCCCGCAAACGACGTGCGCTCTCCGGACACCGCAGACAACGCAGGGCGCACGACCGCCACCGAACCCGCCACCACTGGGGGACTCGTGTGTCAGCTGCATCACAAGTCACCGGATAACCTTCAGAAGTACGGAGCCCACTTTTTAAAAAGTGAACATACTGGGCCGACACTGTGGTTAATAAAATTATCCACGTTTCAGGTGCTTCTGTAATCCACCATCCGTCCGGGGTATTGTGTGTTCACCCCCAAGTCACCCCCTTCCATCACCCTGACCCCCCCGGCCCCTTTCCCTCTGCTAATCCCCACATGCTCGTGTCTGTCTACCAGGCTGCTATTAAAAAATTGTTTTTTTCTTAATCCCTTCACCTTTTTCACGCCCCCCCCTCCCCATTGTATTTTATTAGCTGGAATTTCTCTCCTTTCTCCATCCCACTGGATGTTTTTGTTCGTTGAATCCCCTGCATGTTTTGAAAAAAGTCAGACAAAGAGAGAGAGAGGCAATTAATTTCTGTTTTTCAAGGCAATTCATTTTTTCTGGGCTTTGGAATCGCCCGTTGAGGGGGTACCTCGGGCGGCTTACGGGTTTACGTTGCCTCCCGAGCTCTATCGCCCCTTGCGACGGGCGCAGAAGGGGCGCAGAAAGTGGCGAGCGACAGGTCGTTCATGACACGGGTTTTGCAGTGAGGTGGGACGTGTGCCCGGTGACAGTGCCCGCGAGCACACGCCTGGGGAGACGGGGCAGAGACTGTCGCCGGACGGGGGCCCCCGCGTTCTTTCCCGGTTTAAACTTGGGTCTTACGCTGGGAAATGACAGTTGGTCGGTTTCCTGCTATGACCCTGAGCTGGAGCCAGATTTTATTAAATCTTGTTAAATCTTTATTAAATCGCACACAGGCTCTTCATGTCTTGTTTTTGATTTTGGGGGGGGGTGCACATTTGGAAAAGACTAAAATTCCGATTCAGGATTTTCACCCTTTCACATGCAGAGGATTGAACGAAACCCTGCCGGATTTTCGGGTTTTCGAGATGCGCTGTTTAGAGGGAAAAGCAAGCGCAGATTCCCGTTCGTGTGCCGACTTCGGTGGACGGTGGCTGCTGTGTACTTTTCCAATCAAACCAAAAGAACCCCATGGACTTAGCATTTCATAGGGTAACTTAACCTACGCCTGTAAAATTACGGCCATCCTAGGCTCTTGTGCGTGTGCGTGTGTGAGGCTAAAATGCAACCACCCTTCTAAAATCACACTTCCCGGCCCACGTGAGAGTTTAATGAGTTATTTTACTGACAGCGGGATACGCGCTGGCCTAGAATGGAGATGCGTCCAGAGGTTTATCTCAGGCGTGGAAATTATGTTTCAAGTCAACGGTCGCAGTGCAACCTGTTCTAAGTGCAGGTTTTCTGTTGAAGCGGCGGCTTATCCCTTAGAGACAGCAGGTCGCTTACCAAGTACAGAGCGATTCCCCCTCCTATCAAGAAGCCGCAGTAGACGTCCACCGGGTGGTTCTTGTACTGGGTGATGCGCGTCAGCCCGCAGATGATGCCGCAGATGACGAAGGTGAAGACCAGGAGGGGCTTCAGCAGCTTCGAGGAGTCCGTTAGCGTGGAGTTGAAGTACATCTGAAAAAAAGGAGAAAGAGGTCATGTGGGAAAGGTCATTTTACTACGACATTATCGTCACGCAAACAGGTGGACCCCACGGTCTGACCGCGGCAGCGCTGTTGCTGTTCCACGCCCGCCCTGTCTGTGTTCCGGACCCGAGAGGAAGGACGCGCAAGAGAGCTCATCCGATAAATAACATCATTTGACTACGAGGGAGTCTGGAAAAAATAAATAAACGGAAGCAGCACAATTAGCCACTAACTGTTTAGTCTCCAGGTTGCTCGTCATGATTTCAGCTCATTTTTCTCGCATACGAGCTCACGAGCTATTGTATTAATCAGCTACGGTGATGATTCCCTGGCAGCGACTATGAGATGACCCTGAGCCAGGACTCACGGGAGCAGAGACGCTGCAAGCCAAGCTTGTGCGCGTGGACGCGTGGACTGGACACGATTCCGTCAGTTTTAGAATCTGTAACATTCACGGGGTCCACAGGCCCCCCCCCGTGAAGCGTAACGTGACATTAAATGGGTGCTGGGCTAAATAGTAAGTGACACAGCTGTGTAGGAGAATGGTTTTACTATAACATTGTCTTTTTAAAAACACGTCCTTATTGATTTTAGAGAGAGAGGAAGAAAGGGGGAGAGACATTGATTGGCTGCCTCCTGCACGCCCCCGACTGGGGGTTAGGCCCACGGCCCTGGGCACCTGCCCTGACCGGGAATACAACAGCGGCCTTTCGGGGCACAGGACGGCGCCCTGCCAGCTGAGCCACACGGGCCAGGGCTTTCAACACTGTTTATAGCAGCATCTGATTTATTTATTTTTTAAAATATATCTTTATTGATTTCAGAGAGAGGAAAGGAGAGGGAGAGAGAGAGACAGAAACATCAATGATGAGTCATTGGGGATTGAGCCCGCAACCCGGGCATGTGCCCTGACCGGGAATCGAACCCCGATCGCCTGGATCCTAGGTGGACGCTCAGCCGCTGAGCCACGCCGGCCGGGGCTACAGCATTGTTTACAGCAGCATCGAGTTCCGCTCCCGATGCTGGGCCGAAGGGCCTGCACTGAAGGCTCCCGTCCCGTCATCACAGGGCTGCCTGCAGGGCCCGGGAGGAGGCCGCGCTCGTTCCCGACTTTCTCTAGGACCCAGGCCGACGGGAGAGACCCGCTACTCACCGACACGTACACAGCGGCGAAGGCGGCGAGGGTCGCGTGCTGGGACGGGAACGATTTCCTGCCAAAGGAAGACAGTCACGTTACGCCGTCTGTTCAGACCCGCCGGCAGCCACAGTCTGGGGAACACCCACCGCGCGGTTCAGACACGCGGCTGAAGCGCCACAGGCAACAGCAATGGCTTTAACCCCTGCTCCGCCCTCTGGAGAACTGAGAGGCGACACGAGCCCGGCTCAGCGCCGTTCCTGTGAAAGGCCCGGCGACGCCCTTCCCGCGGGAGATGCTGGCCCTGCCGGGTCCCTCGCCACACCACTGGGGTGACGGCTGCAAAGAGCAACGACTGGAAGAAACAATCATTCTTCGTTATTAGAACTATGTTGGTTAAAAGCAAAAGTTCCTAAAACCTACGATAAACCGACTGTGACAACCGAAAAGCACAGTCCAGGGTGGATCACAAACCACGAGTGAGGTTTGGCGGCAGGAAGGCGAGTGGGAAAGCGCGAGGCTGAAATTCGGAGACAGAGGGGAAGATTTGGAACGAGCCACCCATGGGTGTCTATGGTATGTTACCAAAGAGATCACTGAACTGAGCAGAAAAAGAGAGTCAAAATCATTACGACCGAAAAATGCCTGCCTCGGGCGACCCCCTCGCTGGGAGTGACCGGCGAACACCGAGGAGGGACATTCCCTCACCTGCCGCTGTTGATGACCGTGAGGTCGGCCCCTGAGCAGATATCTTCCACGACGTAGGAGTTCTCCTTGCAGGACACGTTCAGGGAGGTGTAGTTGGGCTTGCACACGGTCAGGAAGTACGGCGCCTGGTACCCCGTGGACAGCTGGATGATGTCCGTGATGAGGGCCGTGGAGCACAGTCCGAACACGTGCACACCTGGGAGCGAGAGGAGAGGGGCTGTCACCAGGTCAGGGCTGGCGCTGCTGCTGGTCGCCGTCAGCCGCCTTTATGACACGTGAACACGTCAACCTCCGGATCTCCCAGATCGACTTCCCTGAGTCCATCTCGAGACTGAGGACAGAGATAATCCTTAAACTTCTCAACAGATACTCAAGGTCAACAGAATGGCAAAGAGGGTCCTCCAAGGAGTCATTTGAGGTGTTTTTGTCATTGTGGTTAACTAAGGCCAGTTCTCAATATTATTCACCGCAGGCCACGCGTCAGGAACCTGGAACACGTCAAGGTGACCAGTGGGGGTAAATATGGGGAATGAAGCAGAATAAAAAATAATCTGAAACTGCTTCGCATGTTTGAGCTGCCAGGGCTCTGTCCCCCGTAGCTAACTCCAGCCACAGTCGCCACACCCTGGGAATGGGTCCTGACTCCCTCCAGGCTGTCGCACACCCGCAATGCGCATTAACGCAGAGGGGGCAGGCGGCCCTGTCCTGGAAGCAGTGATCACGTCCTGGGCAGGGCTGCGGGGGCCTGAGCCGCCTGCCTGCTGGGAATTCAGAAACGATGTTCAGGTGTCTCCCGGTCCCAGGTCTCTCTCTCTTCTGTCTCCCAGAGCCGGTCCCGCGTCTAGACTCGCACAGCCCGCGGCCCCTCCCGCACTCGCCCACCAGTCCCGCTCCGGCCCTTCCGGCCTTCACCTGGGGCGTGGGCCCTGCTCACACGCACACGCCCTGAGCTCGCCGCCTCCTCTACACGTCTCGACACCTCGATTCCCTGGCACCTCCCGGCCTGGATTCTGACCCCTGGTAGTGAGCGGCACGTGGGTGGTTCCTCAGTGGACTCCCCCCGGCCAGGATCGCTGGCCTGCACGCCACTCTGTCTTCCGTTTTCCTCCTCTGCTTTTTGTCACCGAGCAACCACTCTACCAGGTCCTCCTCTACCCGTCACCTGGGGTCCTGGACATGGGACCTTTGTTCCTATATTCCAGCTCCTAGCGGCAGACAAGGTCTTAGAGGGGAGTGTAGAGAAGAGGGGAACGCACCCCTTTCTACCTTTGGAGAGAGAGAACCTCCAGATCCCCAAGGGTGGGCTTCCGGGGTTGGGGACACTAGAGTGACATGGTCCCTCCTCACAGCTGGAAGGCTTCTCAGAGAGGTTACGTGCCTCTTTCCCGGAGCATTTTGCGCCATTAGGGAACATTTCTCCGGGATCAGCTCTATGTCCTAAAGTTTTACCGCCTCGCCTCAGTCCGAGACGCTGCCACGGGGCCGTTCTCGCCTCCCTGCCTCCCTGTGCCTTGCTTAGTGAGCAGGGTCTGGACCATGATTCAGACCTGACTCTTCCTCTGGTGGGGAGATGACTGTATTTAATTATCTACTAGGTACAGAATGAAATCACCTGTTCCCTTGAGATGACAGGTTACAAGTAAAACAACTTTCTCCTGACTTACTGGGGATGACTGTAGAACATTCGTGTTGGCGTTAGGCACTGTGGCTTCTCGACTCGCTTAAAAAAAACAAGCTTGTGACTCAGAGAACATTAAAATGTTCCCATGCCAACCAGAAGAGGCGGAGGTGGAGATATGCTGGTCTGAGACAGATGCTGGTTCGCTAGGCCTATGGGTTTTCTCATAAAATATAGGAGGTAGACTTAGGGGACATAATCAAGGAGAAATAGCCACTACGCAGGGCTACAGTGACATCTTATGGGCAGTAATTTCTGGAAGAAGACATTCCAGACAACCGGCATGGAATCACTGATGGGACCTAAGTCATTTCCCGAGAGTTGTCCATTCCTCCTGGCCAGCTGACGCTCATGCTCCACTTTAAAAATGAACACAGATCCAGCGAAGCCGTTGTAAAGTAAATATGTGCTAGATCTAAGGCAAAAATATGTTGACCTAGCTCTCAAAGCAAGGACTGTAACTGTAAATAGCACATTTCAGATGCAAAGTCCAAATTGGGGTGCATGAACAGGTTGGTTTTTTGTGGGTTTTTTTTTGGTATAATATAAAACTCATCGTGTACCAGAAATGACACATCTAAATTATAGCTTTAAAGACTTAATATCTGTAATTAAACATAACATTTCTATTTGGAAACGCCCATCCCCTCTCTCTGTGGTTCCCGCACCCACCGACGAATCTGACGGCCCTTCGCAGGAAGGAGTTGAAGTTGCAGCCACCGGCGTTGATGTTGGGCTCCAGCCCGGCGCCGGGCCTTCCTTTGGACACGCAGCAGTAGAGGATCCCCTCCCCGACCATGATCTGCAAGACAGGAGGGCGCAGAGTGGGCGCAGGCCCGGGGGGAACAAGCTACCCCTGCTCACGCAGTCCCGCCANCTCCCCGACCATGATCTGCAAGACAGGAGGGCGCAGAGTGGGCGCAGGCCCGGGGGGACAGGCTACCCCTGCTCACGCAGTCCCGCCGNGATCCCCTCCCCGACCATGATCTGCAAGACAGGAGGGCGCAGAGTGGGCGCAGGCCCGGGGGGAACAAGCTACCCCTGCTCACGCAGTCCCGCCACGCGAAGGGCTGTTTTCCGAACGGCGTCGGAGGCGCGATGGGTTTCTCCGGAGCGGTCAGGCCACGGGAGAGCACCGGCTGGGTCTTCTGAGCCCCGCGTGCCGGCCAAGGGCGTGAGGGCATCTGGGGTTTCCCTGCGGGATCCGCCCCTGTTACCGTCACTGTGGGATTGTCGCTGGCTAATTACCCTGGGCGCTTGGGCTGCTAGTCACTCTATAAGAGAAGCGAGATCTGAAATTATGAGATTTATTTATGCAAAACATCTGAACTATTTGGGATTACTGTACCTAAGAGATTATTGAGTTTGGGGGTTACTGTGCCTAAGAGATTATTGTGACGTTAGAATTGATTTGCGTAAACACGGGGAGCTGAGAACAGCAGGGTGACGTGAGATGCAGGCAGTCCCTTCAGTGTAAGTGGTCACATCACTTTAAATATTACAACCATGATTGGGGCTGAAATAGATTTTCCAGGGGAAACATCCCAGTTCTCAATTCCAGCTTAACATTTATGAAGTATTTAAAATGACAGGCTTTTAAAAACTCAAGACAGGGATCCCTTGACTTTCTGCTTCAGATGTTCAATCTGCTATCGTTAGTTTTCTAGGTACTATGGTGTCTGTGCAATTATAAAGAATCTTAATTTATATAAAAATAATTTCCTTAATGAAACTCTACCTATAACCATTTATGTGTGAAAACCATGCGGCATACATGATAGACTTTTAAGATCAATCGTAGAGAAATAAGCCAGAGGATTTCTTTTCCAAATCATTGAACACTGAGTCAGTTCTACATCTTGAAAAGCACCATCCTACATCATCTCTTTAAGGCTGGCATGGAGACACACAGGTCCATGTTCTGCTGACAAACCACCACATGGAATAATAGAACGGTTGTCTCAAGCTGATCGTCGCAAGAAAATCAGCCACTCATTCCCGAAACGCATTGTCATACGGCTGAGAGAGAGTGGATTTGTCTTCAGGTCTTGGGTAACAATCCTGTGAATAGTTTTGGCCCTTTTTAATTATACCTGTAATGATGACGCCCTTCTCCTCGGGAACACTAGGTTACATAAAAATTTATATATTTGCAATACTTTCATAAAGATACATACTTTGCAATACTTTAATAAAGATAAATTAAAAAGGAGAATTTATTGGTACTGTGCCATCAGGAAGATGTGTCTTATCACACAACACAACAGCCGTGGCCTCAGTGACCTTGAGATATCAGGAGATTTTTATTAGTTGCTCAATATGCTGAAACTGCAGATGTCCACACTGGGCTCTCAGCTATTTGGCTCGACTGTAGATAGAGGTTTTCTTTTTGTCAGTGTTCTGACATCACCCAACTGTCCCTCCCTCCAAGGAGCTCATCCGTTTTCTCCTCACGCTCCCAGTCATTTAACCTTGATCTCGTTGTCATTACGTGAGTTTTCAAAATGACTTCATGTGATTTAAGGATAGAATCTCCTCAGCAGGCTCATCAGCAGTCATACAGTCTTTTATTTATTTTGTTTCAAACAAACCGATCAATACATTTGCCCACTGCACCCCCACTAGAGGAGATGCTTTCTAGTGTGATGGACTTAACGCATATACTCATTTTGCTCTTGTAAAAGGAGTGGACATGCCGATTTTTCATGTCCTTAAAGAGATGACAGGAAACTGAAGTTGTTCTGAGCAACAGAGCACTTTAACTTTGTTGTCTTAGTCTCAGTCTCAGCTGCTCCAAGCACATCGTTAATGGTTCCAATCAGCCCGGAGTCGCTGGAGCTCAAACAACTCATTGATTTTCAAAGCGTTCTGAGACCTTCTATGTAGGATAAAGTTCTTTGGGAAGTTAAGTTCTAATTTTATCTTCTGAGAGCAGTTGGTGTGATTTATTTGTAGTACAAATAGCATGTTATGATTATTTAATATAGGGGGGAAAGTTTAGAAAACAAATCACAGCTAATAGAAGTACAGACTTAGGAGGTCTGCGCCGAGACTCCGCTGAAACTGCTGATGTGCTGAACGGGGGTAGGGCAGTTCTTCGGGGAGTGTTGTACAGACACTGCTCAAACACAGCTTTCTATTTAGTAACCACCTCCTCTGACATTCATGAGCACGAGGAAAGCAAAGTAAGAGTTCCTCCGGCTAGAAATAAATATTATTAACCTTGAAACGTGTTTATGGTCCTTTAGATAGGATTCTGGGGGCACGAGAGACGGTGGGAAGGCTTCACCGGTCTTATTTATTAATGAATTTATCAAAACGCATGTTATTCATGTATCTGTTAGCAAAGTGAAAATCATTATGTTTTTAATTCCGTTCCAGTAGCGGAGGGCATTTTTTTATGTTACATATTTTAAAGTGCAGGGGCCTGTTCTGAATCCAAAGTGTTTTCTGAGCGTGTGTGTGTGTGATGGGAGTTGTGCCCTCTTTATAGTTGTTGATATGCGGTGCTCAGAGTCAATAAAAAGCGCTAATCTAGTAAAAAAAAGGAACACGAAGAAATATCAACATGCACTTTCGAGAAGAAAGACTGTTGGCTAAAAATCATTCATTTTCCCCCAGTTCCCCGCGCTTCAGACGCCCTATAAACACACGGAAAATGCATTAACGAGCAGGTGGGCCAGAAACGCCACAGTAGCCACTCAAGAATGATGCAGTTTCAAACGCTTTTCAGAATGATTTATAAAAGCACACCTCAGAGAACCATCATTTTTGCAGCCGTATGACCTTCTCGGACCATTCGCGCCCGTGGGTTTGAACTGTCAGGTAACCCACGGGAGGCTGTCGGAGTCTCGCAAGGACTCGGTCGCTCTGGGCCAAGATCTAGACTCACTTTCCGTTTGCTTGTGACCCGTCTGCTACCCAGCGCGGCCCTTCCTGGTCTCCCGGCCCCGCACGCCCGTTCTCACCGTGATGGCGGGCGCGGCGAAGGCCAGGCTCAGCAGCATGAGGAAGGGGATGGCCTCCTGCGTGGGCTCGATGTAGGGCATGCTGAGGCTGCGGTCGTAGCAGCTGAAGCCGGAGTGCACGGGCTTGAAGACATCGGTGAGCTCGAGGAAGTACAGGCTGACCACCGACGACGCCAGGATCGGCAGCTGCGGGGGGGACACAGAGCGAGTCCTCTGACGCGGGCCGCGCCCAGAGCCCATGCGTCTCGGAGGGGGAACCGAGCGCGCGTGTTTCCCCCCTTCCCTCACCACTGCCTCCCAATTGCACAGTTAAAGTCCTTCCTAAGTACTACTTTTTTTAATAAAGAATTTTTAAAAAATATGTTTTCATTGATTTGAGAGAGAGGGAGGGCGAGGGAGAGAGAAACATCGATCGGCTGCCTCCTGCACCCCCCCCCCGCTGGGGATCGAACCTGCAGCCTGAGCAAGTGCCCTGAGAATCAAACCGGTGGCCTCTTGGTGCACCGGGCGGCGCTCAGCCCACTGAGCCGCACCTGCCGGGCCGAAGGTACTATTGCTTCTGCCTTCAAAACACGCCTCCAGCCCGGCCGGGCGTGGCCCAGTGGGTGAGCGTCGACCTGGGATCCAGGCGATCGGGGTTCGATTCCCGGTCAGGGCACATGCCCAGGTGTAGGCTCGATCAACGACTCTCTCATCATTGACGTTTCTCTCTCTCTCTCTCCCTCTCCTTTCCTCTCTCTGAAATCAATAAAGATATATTTAAAAAAAACAAAAACATGCCTCCAGTTCACCTACCTGTACGAGCAGGTGGCTCTGAGCCACCTTTGCTCCGGGATCACCTCCTAACTGGTCTCCCACTTTCGCTTTTACCTTCCCCACCCCACCCAGCCACCCAGAGGCTGCCAGAGTCTCTTTTACTCTGTTTTATAGATTCATTTGTTTTTAAGACTGATTTGGACAAAATACGTATACTGCTTGGGGAAAAATAATTTTATACATTGTCTTCCTATGCCGTAATTTATACTGGACAGCGTAATGAATTCAGCCACAATGTTTACTTCCCACATATTTGTCTTCAAAGACATCTTTCATCTTTGAAATGCTCAACCACGGAACTTTCTTTCTAATGGAAGAAATTTCACAGATGGCACGTGTGAATTTTGGCATAGAGATATACACAATAAAACCACACAGACATCTTTCAGTTACACTTAAAATGATATTTAAAAGAGATTCAAAAAGGTTTATATAATCATGCATGAGGACATTTGTTCTCCAGTTATGTTGTATCAAGGGAACAAAGGATGAGCCACACGATTTTTGTGCATTAATACAGAGGAAGGAAACTATCCGAAGGTTTGAAAACGGTTTCAGAAAGGAAAGATTGACCCTTATAATTACAACCTGCTGAGGAGCTTGTGAGTAATGAAGACAGAGAGATTTTTAAAGAGAACATTCTAAGTGTCAGAGAACAGGGCGGATCAAAGATATGTTCCAAAAGACTACACTTGCTAGATAATACTGATTTTTTACACCGATTTTAAAAAGACAAATAAACCTACAGTGCTGTCAATCGCGCTGAAACATTTCGTGCAATCTACCCTGGCGTTTTATCTGGGTCACACAGCTCACTTATTTTTAGCACGTTGATCATAAGGAAGACTTGACTTCTCGCTGGAGAGTTCACTTTGCTCTCAGCCTCGGGGAGCACAGGTTTTCCATTCATCTCCGTTTTCCCCACCGCGCTGAACTCAGAGTCTCTGAGATCCCCTGAAACGGGGGGGTCATAGTCCCAGAGGCAAGCGGTCTGCATGGGGTGTGTGCGCGCATGCGGGCGCTTCTCTCAAAAAATGAGCATGCGTTCCAATTAGCATTTGTTTTTATACATGATATTCTAACGCATTCGTTTATCACTGTATGCACATTATAAAACATTCCTAAATGAGTGATACAAAAATAAAATCAGGGAAACAAACTCCTTTCCAGGGAGTCTAGTAACATTTAAAGCCACATAGAAAGTTTACTTTAGACAAGCAGGGGGTGGGCTGTAGGTAAGTGGAAAGACAAAGCTCACTAACCAAGACTGAGTCTGCGGGAGAAACTGTTAGCCAGGCTGTATACTTTTTATAATTCTTATAGACTTGAAGGGTCACAAGAACGAACGTGCCCACGATATTGTCTCCGTTTTACAAACGGGGAGACTGAGGCTTGGAGGAACTGAGTGACTCGCCCAGGGTTCCAAAGGTAATAAGCGGACTGACCAAGTAAAAATTTATATTATTTTCTAACAGTGAAAAATCGGTATCTAACAGTTTGCTCTACCATAGCTTAAACAATTGCCTTCGCTGGCGTGGGCGCCTTACGTCACTAAAGCGGTTTTCTATGAAAATGGAAACTCTGACTTCTCTTTGGAGTCCGACCGGAGGGACCAGGCTCTGGCGCGTGATGGGACTTGGTTAAGTGGCGGCTTTGCTTCGAGGCCAGGCCCGCGGCCCAGGCTCCGGGTGGGGTGGTAAGTCGTAGTCAGCGGATCCGCACATTTCCTCGCGCCCACTCCCAAACCACATCCTGTTCATCTTTCCCCCCAAATACACTGATTTTAATCTTAATTCCCGGCATTCTCACTGCTTTGGAATTTATACCTAAACGGTCTAATGCCAGCCTTAGAAGACGGTGCAGACACCATCTCTTTACAGCAGATAGGAAGGCGATTAGCCTCCTTCACGTCAATGAGCACAAACGAGTGTCTAACTACGACAGGAAAGGCGCCTCAACGCTAGTCGTGTCCAGATGAGCACTGCGACCTTGGCGCCCACGTTCCCAAGTCCACTCGAGCACGAGGAAACCGCGCAGGCCGCAGCACGTACCTTTCTCAGCGAATCAATTCTGGGAGAAACCCTGGAAAGCCGGGGTGCTCATCACCAGGCATTTCCCACTTTAAATCCATTCTTCGCCTGTGGCCAACATGGGATTTTAGGCAAGTTCTGGGACCTCCCTGAGTCCCAGTTAGCAGGGGTAACATCTACTGCGCTGTATTTAAGGATCAATGAGATCAGGTATGTGAGCAAATTACATTAAACTGTAATGGGAAATGCAAAGGTATTTTGTTAGCAGTAGTATAAATTGTACTCTAACCCTTCTACTGTTTTCTCTTCTCTCCTGTCTGTCAGAAGCCTCATGCCAAGGGAAGTACCTGGGAAATTACCGGTGGGCAATTAGGCAACGAGAGAGAATTTAGGAATATATCGCGTCCGAGCTTCTGATCTTTAGCTGTGCCCGGGCTTTCCAGAGAGCCTGGCAATGGGGAAAAGTAGGCGATCCCTCCCTAACAGCTTTAACGTGTTGGTTAATGCCACGTGGCCTCATGAGATGCCATGTGCACCCTAGGGATTTAGATAAAGCTTCCCACAGCTGCCAGTTTGTTCGCACGTAGAATCAGCACGACCTGTATTCGGAGCGCTGTGGTCCAGGGGGAAGCCTTCTAATCTAAGGAATTCTAGAAATAGTCATAATTAGGAACAGAGCCGAGCCGATAGTAACCATGCGTCCTGAGATAACCCGTCAACCTTTTCAAGCCATTCCTGGCTCATTTGTGGCAGGAGAAAGGATCCAAGCAGATGTTCTTGGAGTACGTGGTTTTGATAGACTTCGCTCTGGAATGAGACACTTTTTCTCCTTTAAAAAAAAGAGAGTTTGCTTGAGAAACAGCCAAAAGAGGCACCTACTGGGTCACTGTGCCATGTACCTGTCCAGGGCACAATTCCATCCGTTACTCTGGGGGGGGCAGCAGTCACAGAGCCAAGCCCAGCAGCTGAGAGAAGAGACAAACTCTGTTCCACAGCTCAGACGGAGCCAGACGTGTTCCAAGTTCCTCCCGTCAGACCCCGAGGGGCTCGCCGAGCCGCGGTGGAGACGGTCGGCCTCCCACCCACTCGCTCCCTGAGTCCCGCGTCATCTTCGGAAGTAGGTCCTGGGGATGGAGCTGGAGGCGGACCAGCGCTCAGACCTGGCTCCTTCACTCCACTGCTGTGGTCCCCAGAAAGCGACTCAGCTCTCTGATTACATGTTGATGATTAACATCTGAGGATAAATACACCCTCTTGGCGCTCACTACCTTCCCACAACATTGCTGCCTTCTAGGGTGGTTCTCGGGATCAAAGATAATGGGTGCCCAGGGCCTGCCACCCCACTGACCTCAACTGGAGGCAGGTAGGAGCCGGTATTTTCTCCTGTGTGAGAAAAGCAGGACGGAGACCGTTCTGAGTGACTTGGCCATGGAGACGCAGTGGGATGGGTGGCACCCAGGAGCAGTATCCCACTCCCAATGGCAGGGTTCATGTTCAGTATCTGGTCTTGGAATTTGTAGAAATGTCCTCATAGAGTCTCTAAAACTCAGGAATCTGTTCTGTTCTCTG